AACGTGTGTGAGAAGCTGGAAGAGCTGTGAACAGTTCCATTTTCCGCTTGAAGGAGATTCGTAAATCTATTTAGTATTTTATATAAAATCAAATGAAGAAACATTTTTTTTACGGTAGCCTCAATTGTTGAGGAAAAAATATGATTAAGTTGAGACAAACTGATACAAACTGTTGTGCAAATTAAGGGCGACATTGATTTAACCATTAAAAAGATATTTGAAGATAAGTTGCGCCACGAATTTTTGACCGCCCTCAGCCTGATTATCAGGCTTGTACTAATGGCGTTTTTGTTGAAGTGTTACGCTTCCGGTGCGTTGGTTTTTGCTGTCGATAGAATAGGCCTAGAGAAGGTTATTGGCTGCGCCTCTCCCTCCACTCTCCTCGTCCCTCAGTCCTCAGTCACTCCCAGTCCCACCCAGTCCAGTCAGCTAGTCAGTCATTCTCTCACTCTCAGGGGCCAGGGGCAACTGTACTGTGCGTGTGTGCGTTGTCAGTGGAGGAGAATACAGGAATAGTGAGGGAGTTGTGTACTACAAACTACAACGCAACGCATTACAGTGGCCTGTGCCTGCGAACCTTGAACTCAGAGCTCAGCTGTCAAAGAACCTTTCCTTGATAATACACACTACACACACGCGAGGCCTGGTCGTAAGTACACAAAATGACTTGATCAAATCAAGTGTTATTGTAGGCCTAGATCTATATTATGTGGCCTATTATGTTGGCGAGTCTTTACTGTACTACTGTACTCAGACTGTAGGCCTACGTAGGCCTAGATCTAGATCTAGATCTAGATCTAGATCTAGATCTAGATCTAGATGTAGATGTAGATGTAGATCTAGATATCTAGATCTAGATCTAGTCTAGATATAGATCTAGATTTAGATCTAGATCTAGATCTATATAGAATCTAGATCTAGATTCTAGCTGTAGATCTAGATCTAGAATCTAGATTCTAGATCTAGATTCTAATCTAGATTCTAGATCTAGATCTTCGTCTAGATTCTAGAGATAATAAATAGAACGAAGTGGTTAAGTACGGCCAGACTGAGAGTAAGCTTCAAAATTGGTTGCCACCTTCAGATCTTGGGCTTGGCCTCTACTTTTCTGTCTTTAGGCTTAGGTTAGGCCTACCCACTTAAGTCTTCTTTTATCCCAGTCTTATCTTTCGTGTTGTCATCACGTCATAGATCAAGATTGTTGATACCAGACTGGCATCTAATCTAGAGATCTAGGAGGCTTCTGTAATTTAATAATTTCCACAGTAATTATTTAGGCAGGCGCTATTTGCTGCGTTCTGAATAGCCACACAGAATAAAAGCCATTCCTTCAACAAACTGTCATACAACATGATGTGAATTCTAGCTCCTTCTTTCTTTCCATCGTAATAATTTGGCCATAATTTAATTTTTCAGCATCTTAGTTTAGTCCAAGGCCCAATGCTACTAGATTCTAGGTCTAAGTACCTAATTAAATAATCGAAATGACTATTTCTCCGAAGGCCACATCTATTCTCATCCCGGGTGAGAATAGCGCTGGTGAGCCTTTTGGCTGTTCTCACCCGGTGTGCGTTCACCATGAATAGGCCAAGCAGTGTATGCCTAGCGTTCACTGTGAACAAACATTCCAGCGCTCTAGTGTTGAAAGCGTGCGATTTTGTCTGTGGGCAGTGAGAGAGAAAGAGAGAGAGAGATCTAGATATCTATATATATATATATCTTCCGGGCAAAACAAAATGGCAACCCGCTTTGTTCGGCTCGATTCGAAAAGTGAAATAACCATAGCATCTTTGTAGACGACGACCAAATTAGTTTACTTTTGTGTAGCACTATAACACCATTTTTTCTTTGTTTTTGTCAATTTGATCATCCACACCAATAGACAGTATTCAGAAATTAGGAAAAATATTTCGGTGAGAATGGCCACTTCCTTCTCCGAACGCTCGGGAAAATAAACTTTACCTCTAAATTAGATTCTATTTCTCAAGTTTATTTTCCCAAGCCAAGCGTTCGGAGAAATAGAGCCGGACTTTGTATATATATATAGATAATGGCCACCTCTATTCTCACCCGGAGTGAGAATAGTGCAGGCGAGTCTTGTGGCTATTCTCACCCGGTGCGCGTTCACCAAATTTTGCGTTCAGTTCACCCTAAAACACAGAATTCTACACTGTGATAACAGAAAAATTGTAGAATTCTGTGTCGTGAACAAACGTTCCATTACAACTGTAGCCTACTAAAAGCGTACAATTTTGTCTGTGGGCAGTGGAGAGAGAGAGAGAAAGAGAGAGAGGAGTAGCGCGAGAATTTCCGGGCAAAACAAAATGGCGACCCGCGTAGTTCGGCTCGATTCGAAAAGTTAAATAGCCGTAGCATCTTTGTAGACAACCAAATTAATTTACTTTTGTGTTTTAACATCATTTTTTAACTTTGTTTTGGTCAATTTGATCGTCCACACCGATAGACAGTATTCAGAAAGAGAGAGAGAGAAGAGGGGAGAAGTTGATCTTGCCAGAACTTCCGGCGGGTGAGAATAGCCACTTTCATAGATAATTGCCAAATTCTTCTTCTACTTTTGTGCCCCCCCCTCCCCCATTTTCTCACAATTAGGTGGATTGTATTGTTTTACTTTCTGGTGATTAAACTGTCTCTCATGTTATTATATTTTTAATTTCTTCTTATCGACTTGGTTTAACAAACATTGAATTTATTGGTCTCGAATAAATAGTTTTTGAAATATCTGATTGTTTTATTGGACGTGTCACGACATTGTGGAATCGGGCGCTTCTCAATTTTAGGGTGTATATATATGGACCTCGTGGTATCATCTTAAAACCTGTTCATTTGCCTTGCTTTTGGAGAAAACACCCCTGAAGTGAAAAAAAATGTGGGGGTGGGGCAGGGGGGGGGGGGGGGTTATGCTACAGGGAGAGGTATCCTAAATTTGAGCTGTATTTAATTTTTCACACAACACTTCAGAGGACTGTCATGGTCTAGATGTTACGGTGTTCGCCTCTCGATCAAGGTCCCACGGTCAAACATGACAGCGCCGAAAAATTTTCTTCTCTAAGATTTTCTCCTTTTGCCTCTCTTTTCTGCTTTTTAACCATGGTCTGTTGTCTGCTTTCGTCTTCACTTGCCTTTGCACAATTCAGGACCTATTCCTCCTTCACCATTGATTTATCATTGTTTTATCCATAACATTTTCGTTAATGTAAAGAAGACAAAAAACAGAAAACTGCAGTGGGCCACACTTAATAAATTATTATTATGATTAAGAGTTTCACTTATTAGTTATAGTAAGTTTTTTGTTATAGCAGGCTTAAAAATAAGTCCCCCAAGTTTTATTTTGTTTTAGTAGAGGTTTTACAGGGCTTGCAACTGCATAAGGTCATATGAGCGCCAGAAGATTAGAGGTGTTACAAAAGAGGTTGATTGCAAATAGTTATAAAGCGCACAAAATCACACTGTAGAGCATGGCGATTTATTAATGCATAAATGTAAGCTTTATTAAATTTTGTTACCCATGCATCTCTAATTATGTCTATAGGCCTACCTATTCTTCTTCGTATGCTTTCCTTCTTTATTTTCTGTCTCCAGGATATTCTTAGAGTTCTTCTGTGTGAATGTGAGTGGTTGGCGGGTGCTCTGGTATGGTTTGCTTTATTGCCTATCTAACATTTGTCGTCTTTATCTCCCCTCCTTTTTTGTGTTTGTTTCTCTTCTCGTAACACCTCTAATCTTCGGCTCTTATATGACCTTATTGTGTTGCAAGTGCCATAAAACACTTACTAAAATAATAGTTTAAAAAATAATTATGTCTAGTCCTCCATGAGACTAAGATTATGCTAGAAAAAGGATGAGGGAAGAAAAAAATCACTGGAAAAGATAACAACAAAACAATAAATGATAAATTGGTAGTAGGTTTGCCGAATATTTAAAATACAGTCATCACATTGGTTAATCATCAGTTTCAGTATATGTATACTTGATCCCTGTCTATAATGTAGGGTTTGGCTATGACAGGGATTTCAGGTTGGTCCCGACAACCCTCCTGTTTTAGCTGGGTCCCACTGTAAACATTATTGCAGTCTCCAGGCGGATGGTTGGAGGGTGCCACTGGCAGGTCCTACTTCTACTTTAATTTTCTTTTTATTGTTTTCATCTGTCAGTCTTACTTTTTCCCCACATGACCGTTATTGTATTTATGATAATGTGCTTTTCTTTACTCAACAAAAGCAGTCTCCAGTGAGATTCTAAGAGTGTGCTGTTTTTTAAGCACTAATGATAATAATAATAATAATAATAGAGATAGCATTTGTATAGCACAAATTCCCGCTCAACAGCACGCTCTATGCATTTCACAATCTATACTATTACCCAAGCAGACCTGATAGCATTCTGAAACAATCTCCACTCCCTGGGAAGCATACAGTGCAAACTGCCGTTTTATAAATATTCTAAAACACTAACATGATACTCATTCTGCCAAAATGTTTCGCTGTCTATTAGCACAATATCGAGTTCCATGTTGTACCGAAACGGTAACAGCAATACATAGGCGAGCATGTTTAGATATCTGACTAACGGATTTGGGTTTTTTTTCATTATCAATATAAAAATGTTATACATGTATAACCATTTTGTTGGCTGCCTAGGTTTTTCATAGGCCTACTATTTTTTAAATTTTATTTTAATTTTTTTTATTAATTAATTTAAAAAAAAAATATTTTTTTTTGGGGGGGGTTATGTTGCCATCGTCTTTGAGATTTAAAATCCATCCCTTTTTCCTCTCACACTTTTGAATTAGAGCTCATCTAAATTTCCTTTCTCTGTCCTTTATTACTGTACCCCATCCTCTGTTTGGTGGACTGCTTTCACCAATATGATTAGGTGGTACATGTACTTTATGGTCCCTGTAGGCAATTTTTCTTGGCTGTAGTGAAATGGTAAAAACACTTTAGATATACATAGAATTTAAATCATGATACTTTCATTAAAATTCAATATGAAGAGAAAAATAAAGCTGACGGTAATAATAATAATAATTAAACATGTCACGTCAGATGCATTTTTCAACCAAATGCAAGAATTTAATTTAGACTTTAAGAGTTATAGATCTTAGATCTATGTTTTTTAAAACACGGACATCAATACACATTAATTTTTTAAGTGTGATATTTTTTATTAATGTAATGCACATTTAGCATTTTGTAGAAAATGGAAATGCGCAGAATAAATGCTATTTAATAATACATTCGTATTGTATTATAATGTGCAGGGTGACCGATGACTCTGATTTAAAAAAGCCCTCCCATTTATAACGGTCATTTCTTTTACAAGTCCCCTTTATTCTTAAATCCAAAGTGATCACTGTGTGTTTGAGTTTGAATGTGTTATGGTTCAAAAACTCTACTTAATTTTTTTTCCCTCTTCCTTCTCTGTTATCTCTTATCCTTTGTTCTTCTTCATATTTGACGTTTTTACTTAGGTTCATCATTTTCGTCTCCTAATTTTGAACTTTGGATTGCACTTATATGTTTAACAAAAAAACGAACAGCAGTACACATTAATTTTTAAAGTGTGATCTTTTTAGAAAATGGAAATGCGCAGCATAAATGTTTATATTATTATTAATAATTTCATAAT